CGACCACATGTCTGCCTCCCGACCGTAGCGGCCCGTTCCTTGCGTGGTGTTGCGACGCTTCAAAACTTCAGGAGCAAAATATTGAGGGGTACCACAGAACGTTTTGAGACCTTCGCTAGTAGTGCGCTTCGCCAGGCCGAAGTCTGTGAGCTTTACATCCACGTCCGAGTCACGGTGCACCAACAGAATGTTCTCGGGTTTCAAGTCCCGATGCACGATGTTACGGGCGTGTAGATACTGCACCGCTTGCAGCACGTTCCGTATCAGCTTGCGCGCGGTTGCCTCCGGGTATCGACCTCGGTCAACGATGCGGTCGAAAAGGTCGCCTCCTTGCACCAGTTCCATGACCAAGTAGATCACGTCCTCCGTCTGGAAGATGTCCTGCAACCGCACCACATAGGGATGAGCGATACTGCGAAGCACCTCCGCTTCTTGCACCAGTTCTTTGGGAGACAGGCCCGGCGTAAGGCCAAATTTGCGCGTTTCGATGATCTTGATCGCCCAGGACTCCCCAGTCTTGCGGTGCAAAGCCACATGGACACGTCCACACGTGCCGCGCCCGATTTCCTCTCGTATGTCGTAGAATTCCTCGATGCGCCTTACATATTTGCCTGCAAAGGAGTGTTTACCATCATGTGGCACCAGCGGCCGGCTACATGGATTTTGATTGCACACTGTCTGTGCGGCCCTTGGAGAAGATGCACTCGAGAAGACACAGGACGCTATTGCAGGCGTAGGCGGGGGGATCGAGGTGGTCGGCAGAGAGGACTCGAACGACGGAGACGGCATCCCCCCTGCTTGGCGAGGTTGGCGTTGCTGTCGATCTTTAGGCTCCATGGGAATGAAGACATAAGAGGCGGCCTCGTAGTCCTGGTCCTCCCTCGCCTTGACCAAGCACAGCTCGTCCCCAGAGTTAAGCAAACGGCGCTGCCCTTTGGCCAATCGAACCCGACGGTTCACGAATGTTCCGTTGGAGCTCATATCCTCAACATATGCTTTGAAAGTTATGCGACCTCCAGGCTCCCTGCTCTCCAGACAGTAAACGCGACAGTGCTGAGAGGAAATGCGAACATCGTCCAACCGAATGTCGCACGATCGCCCTCTTCCCAAAATATAAGTATTGGCCTGACAATGTGATGTCTCAGCCGGCCGGAACAGAAGTTTGATGTGTGCAGCACCACGTTTGAGAGGCAAGAGGCGACCCCAAGGCTCCAAAACTGCATCTCGTGTCGCGTCTCCGTTGGTGAAGCCGGGCTCCTGCTGAGTATCTCCGCTCATCAACGTTCTTTCCTCGTACGAATCGAGAAAGTCGTCCTCAACCTGTGTGGGCCCACGGCTAGAAAAGCTCTCATTGTCATCTCTTCCACTGGCACCGCCCGCTCTAGCACATGGCGCGTCACTTTGCGGCGACAGAAGCATCAAACGAACGCCGTATATGACCGAATAGTTTGGTCGCCACCTTGCTCCCCAACAATTGCACGTGGGCAATAAACTCTACACCGTGAATACGAAGACTGTGCCTAGGTGTAAGCTGTAATTGACATTCGTGGACAGGCAAATGAGTGGGTTGCTACACAATATATAAGCTGTCCCTATATGCTAGCGATGTTGGTACGGGTACAGAAACCGAGCACGAGTTTTCAAGGTACACAGCCCCGAGGAGTCGAGTACGCTCTATCCTTCTCATAAGTCTTCCTGGCTGAGAGCATGGTCGCCTTCCTTTGGAGCGAACGAGTTAAGGCCGGCGGGCAGGTGGGGGCGCCCACGCTGAGGCCGTGGCCGGAGGAAGGGTCGCCGAGGCCCTTGGGCGAGCACTTGCTCCTCTACCGCCCGTGCCAGTACGGCACACCGCGAGGACTTGCTCCTCTACCTCCCGTGCCAGTACGGCACACCGCGGGAACAGGACTAGTCGGAGGTCTGACAGCACCCCCCGAAGATCTACTCTCACTGGCTCGCATGACAGGGAAATGATTGGCCTTCAACATCATTCATCGCTCGCACCTACCGACGCTGCGATCATTTTGCCCCAGGGTCCTCGACTCTGTTCCGAAATCTGGTCGGCAGGGCAGAACGAACAACGCCACATTTACGAAGAAGTGATCGACGAGGAGGATTATTGGACGAATATGGGGAAGGTAGGTGAATTATGTGCGGCAAGAAGGCTGAAAGCAACAATGTAATGTGCTCCAGGGAGGCTGAAAGCAATGTACATGAACTGAAGCTTCACTACCGGTGGCTTTGAATGATGTAGTGCTCGCAAGGATTGATAAACCTCGAGGTAGCAGAGATGAATGCTGACGACCCCTAAATCAAATTTCAGGCCCCGTCATTTCATAGATTTGCCCTTCTTCGATCGTGTTTCATAAGCAGCGGTGAATGACACCAACTTACATAAGACCCATCCTCACATTTTTTTTCGAAATCCAGGCGCATAATATTGGTCTGTGCTTAGTATATGCCCTTGTAGGGTTTGTTCCGAGCTTCCTTTCGACTCCACTGGCGGTCTATTTGGTGCGCTCACTTAACGCACATCCTGTGATACAAAACCAAGTGATGATTTGCACGTCTCTCCCCTGGGCGTTTAAATTTTTTTTGGGGTTCACATCGGACGCAATGCCCTTGTGTGGAGAACGCCGCAGACCGTATATTCTATTCGGCGTCCTTCTTTGGGGCAGCAGTCTGGTTTGCCTGGGCTTGCTGGATACGCCCTCAGCGCCAACGCTTGGTATTGGGCTTTGCATTTCCACCATGGGAATGGTAATGTGCGACACGATCTCTGACGCGATGATTGTGGAGAGAAGTACGAAGGAGGATGAGGATGACCATGGGCACCTCCAAAGCCTGGTTTACACTGTGCGTTTCGGATTTGCGGTGCTTGGTTCAGTACTCGGCAGTGTAGTTTACAATGAAACCTGGACCTACAGTCTGTCTTTTGAAAAGATCATGTGTCTTACGGGATTGGCACCCTTACTTGTGCTACTGCCTTCGATAAGCTTTCTCAAGGATATGCACCGCTCACTCACTGGAATGGCTGCCGGCGGCGTAGGCATAGATGATCGCCCGTCAGTGTCGCATCAACTTCAGCAGATATGGGAAACAGTAACCCTTCGCGTCGTGTTCCAACCAATGACTTTCATATTTATATACAATCTCTTTCAAGGTAAGCGAAACTGGTGGCAGTGAGGTACTGGCTTGAAGGTTTTGGCCTTGAAGGCAAGAATAAGGTAAATGCTCAAGCCTTTGAGTCACGCATTAATCACCATGCCTGACCACTCACAGTGCCGAATGTATCCTGGAACTCTTTCCTTCAGCTGACTCTGGATTTCACGCCGGTGATGTTAGGAGCTCTATCTTTCGGAGGTCGGCTCATGACTTTCGTAGGGATACTCATTTACAAGCGGTATTTCCTTCGTTCCAGCTGGCGATCAGTGTACATCTTTTCTACGTGCCTGCTGGCAGTGCTAAGCGTTCTGCAGCTTTTACTTATATTTCACATCAACGAGTACCTTGGTATCTCCAATTTTCTGTTCTCCCTCGGCGATGACGTGATGACTGCCTTCATAAGTGGTGGGTATTTTTGGCTCTTGTCGCATTTTGGACGTTCTCTCGTCTCTACGCTTTCCTTACGCAGTGGTCTCGACCTGCTTGTACATCATGATTGAAATATTTTTGATTTGCTGCATCTTACTATCATGGCGCCTCTCAGAATCCTCTCGACTTTCCCAATACATGATAAGGTATGCAGTTCCTTCCCTTAACTATCGTGTACATGAAACTCTGCCCCGGCGGGAGCGAGGGAGCGACGTATTCTATGCTTACGACCTTTTCCAACCTGGCTCTTATTGTGGGCAATTCGCTGGGGTCCCTTTTGTCACTAATATGGGATGTGAGCAACAGCGCCTTGAGGCGAGGCGACCTTCGTGGATTGTGGCGGCTTACTGTGCTCACATCGTGTGTCTCTCCTGCGCCCCTGATGCTCTTGTTCCTTCTCCCAATGGATCGTGAGCAAGAAAATAAGATGCGTGACCGCGCTGGGGCCAATAAGTGTGCAGGTGTCTTGTTTTTAGCGACCTTTATTGGCAGTTTCGCGTGGATAATTGGACAAGGAATTTACGTGTTGACAAATCAGAATTTTAGCCGGGAATAACAGGAATTAAAACGCTACGTGCAGCCTCGGCATTTCTGATTAGAATTGCACTAAATGTCTGAAACTTTCTTAGGCAGGGAGCAAGACATGATGGGACGTGTACACTTGTATAATGGGGCTTGACGAACTCGTGTAAAAAAGACACATGTATATGAACATGGATTGAGAAGTAGCGGTCCAGGCGTCTGGAAGACAAGACAAGATTTCAGAGTGTCATCTTGGTGTGTTGGAGCCAAAACTCATCCAGCGGCATCATGAATTGAAATAATGAAGCCTACTCAGCGCTCTTTTTAGAGGGATTGATGTGCTATCGCTTCGATTTCATGTCAATTTCTCACCTTCATACTCTTTCATTCCCCCCCCATCACTTCGCTCTTGATTCACAGCGTATGCCCTTGCACTCGGTCTACATTGTAAATGCAGAGTTCATTGTTCTATATGGCAAAGTGTTTCCATCTCAGGCCATGGGGCACAACAGTGGTCGACTTCAATGGGAACGAGCTCTGTACCGAAGAACACGGCAAAATTGGCAAGAGGCCTCTTTGCCACAATTTTTCCGTGACGGTGAAGTCACTGTCGTATACCTGCGCTTTCACGACGTTGTGATGATCGTTGCTGGCACGGACGAGTGCAACGAGACGATCCGTGAGTTGCACCGCGATCGGACGGGAGATGAACTTCGCCTTCACCCATTTCAGTTTTGGCTTGTGAACCATTACATGGTCACATCGTTCCTCATCCAATTTATGTGATGACTTCTATGCGTTTTGCTTCTATTCATGCATTTTGCTTGGTGCTCACTTACATGCATCCCATCTTACGCATCTGCATACTCTATATCGTATTTGTCAAGTCACAGGACTAATTGAAACAATTTCTGATCTCTTCTCCTTCGCTTGCTGGGGGAAAAAGAAAGAGAAAGCCACCAGAGGTAGTGCCGAAATGGACTTTGTTCACAAGGAAGGGGGGGCTTATGTAAGGTTCTCCATTTATTTGGATCAACTTATCTCACACGGCATTGTAGCGACGATGAACGTCGACGTAATTGACAGATTGGCAAAGGGAAGGTCAATCCTGTAAAACTGGTAATACTTTCGAAGCGCTTGACATTTTGGTCTCACCACTTTTCTGTCGTTGTGTACATAATAACTAGCATATGACTCATTTGCTTAAGCAATCAGGGCGTTTCCATAATTTTTTTAACTCAAATACTGAGACCTCCAAAATTCCACCTCCTGACCTGAAGCCGAACACATGTTTCGTAACATACAAGATAGCTTCAGAATTTGTGTGCATTTAAGGGGTCAAGTCGGGTGCCTGATAGCGAGCAAATGCCTCGCAAAATGCTTGCGGAGGATGATTCGCGATTGTTGTCGGGACAGAAAACTGGAAATCGTAACCCTTCATGACATGGTTTTGGATAAAAATCTCCTGATCCACCTCGAGCGACTTCCCCGATACACAGCCAGGACATCTGGTTGCCAAGTGTTTGCGGTCCAATGTGGCTCCGCAGCTGGCTACCATGCCTGCTAAGCGTTGGCGACGGGCCTCTAAGGCTGCTTGACCACGTAACGTCGTAGCCTGATTGTCTTCGAGGTCCACACGCCCTAGGAAGTAATCAGTGTAGCGGCGCACAAGGGCATCCGATGCCAGAAAGTGACGATTGGCCAAGACGAAAATAACCTCTAGAGGATTGACAGGTAGCCCGTCGTTAAGTAAGGGAGAACTGGGATTGTCCCGGGCAGTGCATGGCAGACCGTACTCCCTGAGGCGTGCAAGGTTGATTCCCTGATAGCGAAGCATGAGACAATCCACATGGTAGCCAGCGTTTAAGACCGCCCGGGTGGCACCCAGCTCGTGCCGCTCTCGGGCACTGGCTTCCTCCATGGCGCAATCTAAAACGCCATTTTTCAGGAGTAGCCTGAGACCTTGGCGGTCTGTCGCCCAGACGGGGGCCTGCACGTGCAGCTCGGGCTCACAGCTGACACTTCGACCGACAAGTTTGACCTCAGGCCCCACCCGGTCTGTGAGTACACTTACCCAAGACTTGACTGCTTGAGGAGAGTCCCATCGACTCCCTCCTGAGCGCGCCCGATGCACATACCGCGGTAGGAAAGGACCCCGCACTGTCGAGTCTAGAAGAATAAAGTGAGAATAATGGCTTAGAAGAGCGTTCATGTTCAATGGTATACTTGAAATTCTTGCGCCATGTTTGATGCCGCCCCTCCAATCGTTGTCGGTGATCAAACTGCGCAGGCCGCTGGTCCCTAGACAGTCGTGTGGTCGTTCCATCACGCGAACGTGATCAGCAGAGGGAAACATTGGCATGTCGTCTCCCTTTCGACCGCTAGTGAGGTTAAATGAGTGAAAGATTGCTGATGGAACTAGAAAAAGGTAATCCACAAAGCGTTCTGATTCTTGATCAACGCCCACCCTCAAAAAGAAGTCCAGGTTCTCGTAGGATGTCGTGTCATGCGATGGATCATTATGTACGCTGTAAATAACCAGAGTTTTTTCCCCGAACGGCAAAGATTCTGATTCCCAAAGGCCTTCTTTTGAGTAGTCATTTTCCATTGTGAAAGCCGAGTCATTGTGTTGCCACCAAGCGAATAGATTTCTTGAATTGAGGACGAGCAAATCCCGTTGTGAGGGGCCTGCCTTCACCTCATCCCACTTCGACATCCAATCCCCATGTCTTAATAAAAAGCCAATGTATAGCAAGGCAAACAGAATTCCCATACATGGCAGTGCACGCTGACAGTGATTTCCGTACCAGAGCGGCGTGACTGATCCTGTCATTGTGACAGAAGTCGTCTCGGTGGTGCAGCCTCCTTCGCCACAGCTTCGGATATTTACACTAGTCCACGGCACAATGTCCTCCAGGCATATCTGCTATTAGTAATCACACTTCTGCTGTGGCATTGAGAGACAATTGCGATGGATGAGGCAGATCGAGTGCTCGCGGGACTCCCGCCTGATCACCATCACACGTGCCGCCAGCCTCCCGGCGAGCCTCCGCATAAGCATGATACCGCCCCTCGCTGCCCCCCCTGCACAGCTTTCGGCGCACATACGCTTTTCTCTCCGTGCGTCTGTAATGAGAGAACGGGAAACGCAACCATGAAAGCAGTGGGCAGCTGGATGTCGCTCATTTGATATTTTACCGTCTGGTCATCGCACTGCGGTTACGATTGCACAACAAAAGCTTGTGGGGGAATTCGGGGCTTTCCTGTGTCCTTCCCTACTAGTAATATTCTCGTTGGCTCATGCACCGGGAGGGCCCGACAGAGCGGCCCCTCGCACACGCGACATTAAATAATCCTCTCCCCCTTCCATCGCAAATTCGACAGGATATGATCGCTTGACAGTATTCAGTTAAAAAGAAGTTAAGCATGCGAACCTCCCGCCCCAGCGAGTGCGATAACTACTGAGTAACGAGACATAGCACCTTCCCGCGAATGCATTATTCGACTATGCGGCCGATCTTCTTGTGGATGAAAAAAATATACGCTAGGCCTTTGACTAAGCCATTGACACCAATCAGAAGCGCTACTTTTGAGTGTTCTGTCCGCTTTTCTACCTGCTCCATGACCCCCGAAACTCGTCAACTCGCCGAGGGTGTCCTTCGAGGAAATCGGTTAGCTTTAAGTAGAGCGATTACTTTGATAGAGTCCACGAAGGAGAGTCATCGACTCGATGCTGAGGCATTGTTGGACCACGTTGTTTACGAGCGGAGCCGTCGAGTCCGAGAAAAGGGACGACTCAAACCGGGGAATTCCACGAGCAACGCAGCCTGTGTCGCTGATGAGGGTAGAATCGGCACGTCTGAAAATGTTCGACCCTTGCGAGTCGGAATTGCTGGGCCGCCAGGTGCTGGGAAATCGACTTTTATAGAGGCCCTAGGCAAATACCTGACGGATAGTAAGAAATTGGTACGTGCTGGTTACAGCGAACTAGAAGAGACCACGCGTCTGCTGTCCTACCACTTAGTGGTTGTGAGTTTGTGACCTGACGGCTCTTTGTCTGATGCTCTCGCAACCATTTACAGCGTGTCGCTGTCATCGCAGTGGATCCGTCATCAAGCCGCAGCGGGGGTTCCATTCTGGGAGATAAAACTCGTATGTACGAGTTGGCGAAAGACCCGAAGGCATTTGTGCGTGCTTGCCCAACCAGTGGGGTTCTGGGTGGCGTGGCGCGCTACACGAATGATGTAGTCCTGCTTTGTCAAGCCGCATCTTTTGACATAGTTTTCATTGAGAGCGTGGGGCTCGGCCAATCCGAAACTATAATCGACCAGGCATCGGACATGCTTCTTCTCCTTGTTCCTCCTGCGGGCGGGGACGAATTGCAGGGCGTGAAGAAGGGAATCATGGAGGTTGCGGACGTCATAGTCGTTAACAAAGCGGACGGCCATCTTCTCACGGCTGCTCAGCACACAGCTGCAGCGTATCAGCACGCTCTTTGCTTTCAACGGCGCAAATGGGACGCTTGGATGCCGAGTGTGACCCTCTGCTCGGCTTTGGAGCGTCATCGCATCGCAGACGTATGGGAGCAGGTGTGTTCATGTAGTGACGTTTTCAGGCGGTCCGGATATCTCCGCTTAAAGCGACAGAATCAGGATAAATATTGGGTCTGGAATAGTTTAGAGGACATTCTCGTGCGACGAGCGAGAACATCCTCGAAAATAAAAGCCGGTGTGGAGCGGATGGAAAAAGAATTGGGGAAAGGGACCCTGACCCCCCGATCCGCAGCCGAGATCCTTCTCGCGGATTTCTTCGAAGAGCAGAAGTCTCCGACGAAAAGTATGGCGCCGTTCCAACAGTCAACATCATGCTTTCGTCCATCTTCTTCTGATTAATATCTTACGTCCCATATTCAAGTACGATTTGCGCCGCTAAACTCACGCAAAAAATTCAAGTAATGATTGTCATCTATTTTGCGGCCGTGACTAACTTCAGCTCTTGTCGCCCCAGATCTGGTGTTTCTAGAACACCGAGAAAACTGGATTTACTCATCAAACTCTCTGAGCTCCTTCGATCCGATCCACTGAAAAACACCACTCTTCTTTGCTCCACTTCTTCCTTACAGAAGATCATCATCGCTGTAGCAGGCGAAGGGCGGGTCACCTGGCAGCATGCCCGTGTCTCGGTATGTGCCGGCGTAGCGCTCATTTGCGCCCCTTTCGTCATGAAACCAATTCGTTTCTTCAATGCTCTGCAGCACATCTTCTCCCTCCACTGCGTCTTCACGCAGTCCTGAAGTAAATTCAACCGTGGCTAAACTACCATCTTTGCTACAACGAATCGCCCGTGATCTCTTGTCATTGTCTTTTACCCCCGGACTCCCAGCTCCCCCCTGCTGCGTATTAATGTCGTCTTCCTTGCCATTGCTGGCATGAGTGGGAGCCAAGCCTTTCTGTTCGCTGGTTTGTTCTGAGAAGGGACTTGGCGTCTCGCCAAAGGGAGCCCGTTCCGGAGAACTCCCTCCTATGAGTACGTCGGATACCACGGCTGAAGGCGATGCTGCAGATGAAGATGGCATAGATGGAACAATAATTGTGCCATGCGGATCAAAGTCGTGCAGGCGCCGCCGCCATGCACGCACCAGGCCATTGAAACGCTTGGTACTGATTCGGGCATGAATGTCCGGTGTTCTTGGATCTGTACGTCGTCGGAGTTCCTTTGGAATTATCTCCTTATAACGGTCGTATCCCAAGGTATTCTTGCCATAGTCGATCTGTTTCTGTCGCTGCCGCAATCGATGAGGGTCAGTCTCCGCCTCGCCTTGTCCTGACACTCCCGCCTGTGGTGTTATGGTATTTCTTCGGTCTCTCAAGGCTGTACTGTTGACCTCAGGGGTTGTCCCTATTAAGCAACTGGGTAGGCGTGGCTTTGTCTTCGTTGAACGGCAATCATCAGCCTCATAACGAAATCTCTTGCTCGTGGGGCGCTTTAATAAAGACGAGAAAAAAGGGTTAGAGAAAATAAAGCAAGGTAACGTGTCCGAGGAGCAGTCTTCCTGTCCTTTCCGTACCTGCCGAAAGCTGTCCATTTCTTTGCGATAATAGTGCACTTTCCCTAGCCTTTTGTAGGTGTGGGGAGTGATGTGACTGCTTCGACCAGTACGTTTGTCAAACATGGCTCCTTCACTCCTGATCCTTTCCCGCCCCTCTCTTCTTCCAACAAGAAGCTCCGAACCTTTGTCCGCTTTCCTAGTCGAGGTGCATGAAGGGCTTCGTAAGCCAAATCAAGACATTGATGCATTGATACGCTTTACTGAAGTTTGTGCGTTGAAACGCCGTTCTCCTAGAAGGTTTCCTCACTGAAGTACGTGCCAGAAGCGCGCGGAACACTCGCTGCTGGAAGGCGGGAGCTGATCAAGAGGTTTGTCGGGCGTCTACAAGTTGTCAGCAAGCTGGTTACAAACTTTGAGGCGTGGATTATCTTCTAACCGTGCGTTGATAGAATGGTCGGACGAGCACGCTGCGCTCTTTTGATGCTATATTATCCTTCGTCACTCATTGAAATCGCGCTACACAAGGACCAAATAACATCAGGGATGGTAGATTTCTCGCCGTTGTAAGGATTAGAGGAAGCGGTCTCTAGATTTCGCGACACGTATGGAGCGACAACGAGATATTCTGGAGTGTCAATACAATCAGGAAAAATTTCGAGAGAGGGGTCAACAGGCAGACCAACAATCGGCTTTGGTGGATGCGACGCAGAGCATTGATGTTGTACCCTCCTACGTAGGAGGCCGCCAACCCCTTCCTGAAGAACTTCAGCTCATGGCTGAATTTCAACGCGTCTTAGATAGCGCAAATGTCATACTACCTCGCAGGTAAGTGGAGGTATTCCTACCTCTAGTTGACCACATCTCACTTGTGCGAAGGTGATCGGCAGAGCGTCTGGATCTCACTGTTGAGAAGTGAATCAACCAGCCCGTGCATCGTATATGAGCAGCTCAATTTTCAAAATAGAATTGAAGCTTTGTGAGGATTTGAATTAGTACTTGTCCCTCTCATTGTATGTATTATACGAATTTGACTCAATACCAAAAAAAATCTATGAGGAAATCCATTTCTCTAAAAGTCAAACATCCGTATCGAAAGGAGTTCTTATCATCAATCGTTCTATTATCACAACTGAACAGTTTTTGGGAAGCTAACTACCACGAGTCCCGATGCTCCCTCTTCTGGCGCTTTTTAGTTGCAAACGACGGACACGTGATACGTGCCAAAAACCAACTCGCGCGAGATGTTGCCTGGAGGGATGAAATCAGGTTGAAAGACTTGCAGAACATGGCGCGAAAAGATGTAGTGGGGATTGAAGACGCATTTTTTATACGTCATTATCCTTGCCTCTGTCTGGGGTTTGAGGATGGGAGTGAAAATTATTCGCCAGTCGTCTACAGACGCTTGACGCACTTAAACACAAAAGTGCTTGCGGAGAAGGGGGTGACAGTCGAGAAAATGATAAAGCATGAGCTATGGCAATATGAAAAAGACTGTCGCCTTTTATTCGAACATCCAGAAAGCTTTCCTCCTCGGCAACTGAAGGTGCGTATATTTTGAATGGATAGGTAGAGTCAAGAATTTTGTTAAACTTTTTAGCCAACTCATTTGGAATGTCGGAACTATCTCGTACATCTGCGAATGTTGGCCACTTTTTGTAGACATAATATGCCAGTTGCCACTATCGCAAGCGTTCTTACATCACATTTTTGCTGACGTGCACTGAAAAAGATCGTACTCGGTCCTTTCTCACACCTTTTTGTCACATGCATACAAGGTCATTATCGACATTTCAGGAATGACGTGGGCACAATGTACAAAAGATCTGATAAGCATCCTTTCCGGATTTTCTTCCTTTAGTAAAGTGCATCATCCCGAACGCCTGCAAAAGTTGTACATT